CGGCTCCCCGCTTATGCTAATGAAGCCCGGGAAATTCAAATCCCGGGCTTCATTAGCAAGTGGGGTATGTCTACACTACCCTCCTAGTTCGAACTAGGAGGGTAGTGTAGACATACCCTGGGAGGGACCCGTACACCCCGCTATCTAGTGCTACAGGACTACTTGTTGCCTTTCTACAGAGCATTGATATTGAAAAGCCTGTTATTGAAGGTGCTCTTAACCCAAGAGAGAAAAATATTCACTTTGGGGTATCGTGTTCATCTTAAAGACATAGTTTTATGGAGCTTAATATTGTAAAAAGACATGATGTCTGGAAATGGTATTAAAATGGCCTTACTTCATGGGTTTTTTATGTAAGTAATTCATGACATTAAAAGCAAGAAAAACACCAGCTATGAGACTGCTGATTCAGAAAATCTATTTGAGGGCAACTCAGCTCATGAAAAGCAAGGGCACGCAGTTGCTGTTTTAACTTTGAATTAAGGCGGTGGCAGTCTGGATTTTGTGGCAGCTGGAATTGATAACACCTACCTTCAATAGCAGATTTAAATGGCCACATATTCGCTTCATTCTTAACTTAACACACATGCGCAAGTCCCATTGGAACTTACATGCTTAAATGGTTCCAAATTGTGTCCTCAGTTACACTAAGCAAATCAGGAATGACTATACTATGTTACAAAAACTTGCCAGCTGTCTACACTGGCTGCTTGAATTTGTGCAAGAGCACTGACTTTGTAATGTACAAAATCAGTGCTTCCTGTGCAAATACTTTCACGCTCCCGCTCAGGGATAAGCCCTCTTGCACAAGAATACTTGCGCAAGAGGGCCAGTGTAGACAGGCACCTTAATTTTTTGCACAAGAAAGCCCGATGGCTAAAATGTCCATCGGAGCTTTCTTGCTCAAAAGCGTGTCTAGATTGGCATGGATGCTTTTGCGCAAAAGCACTTGCCAATCTAGACGCTCTTTTGCGGAAATACTTTTAACAGAAAAACTTTTAAAATGCAGAGGCGCGGCGGTCCCAGACTGGTGTGAGCCGGGACTGCTTGGTCCCAAATCGTGCTGGGTCCAGCAACCCCTCTTCGCAGCAGCCTGGGCTGTCTGCAGGCAGGAGCTGCTCCAGTAGCAGCCCCAGCTGTGTGGGGCCCAGCTCTCTTCTGGGACCCCTGCAGACAGGGGATGTTGCCAAAGCAGTCTCTGCCCGCAGTGAGCCTCAGCTTTGCGGCAGTGTCCCCGCCTCTGATAGAGGCAGCAGGATGCTGGCTCCCCCCAGCACCAGCTCTTGTCTTTCCCTCCCCCTTGCTGCTTCTCATATAGAGGCAGCAAGTGGGGGTGGGGGCAGAGCGAGTAGTCAAGTACTCGACTACCCAATAAGCTTAGCCTTATCTAGTAGTCAAGTGCTTGACTACTCACTTACGTCCCTATTTTATACCAGTAGAAATGAACAAAATTTGGCCCACCATGTATTAGATCAGTTTTCCATTTTGAAAAGGTGTCTTAAAATATACTTCACAGCTGGTAACTATCGAGTAAAGACCTTCATGTGATGGAAACTGGCCATTGTAATTGGTGGATCAATGCCAATTTACACCAACCGAGTATCTGGCTTATATGATTTAGTCAGGAATTTACATTTGCTTTCCTTTAGGCCCTGTGTCTGATCTCATTGCTGTAGTTCAGGGAGGTGAACCGGCATAAAACCCCAAGGTTCAGTTGAAACCAAATGATTTATCAGTTCACATAAATCCTAGTACACTTACAGGCACAAAATATGTTATTTATTGTGAACTTTGCAAAGACACGGTTAAGCAACAAAATATACATTTCTGAACCTTTAGAATTAGTTTTATACATAACAAATACAATATGCTACCATAGCAATAAATTAAATGTACATATTTACACAAACATAGGTAACCAGAAACTCTACAAAGCATCGCCTCTCTACCAAAAAAATATTTTTTGTCAGATACATTTCATTAAGAATATTTTTCCCCACACTGTTCCCTTTCATCACATTCTAACATTTAGAAAATCCTTTGCAGGATTTCATACAGTGCTACATTCATGACAAAAAAAATGAAAGCATGCTTTAAGATTTGGAGGAAAAAAAAGGAAACCTGGAACCATGTTAAAATGAAACAGAATTTGTAGCATGGATCAAAGAACTGCTCTGCAAAGGTGCTGAACCCTGCATTCTCCATAGAAGTCAGTGGCATTTGTACATGCTAAATGCCTCTCACAAACAGGCCCAAAGACAGCTGAAAAATCTTTGGCACAGATCCTCAGGTGGTTTTAATGTTTCCATTTACACCAGCTGGCCGGTTGGCCCTGCCTCGTGATATTCACCAAAGCTCCAGATCAGAAAAGCAGTTAAATATGTGCTTCAGTACATCCCTTTTCAGAAAAGCATTTTCAGGTCCATGTTTTCTGTGGCTTTGAATGAGGAAAGCACTTACATGCTGTAGTTTGCATACATGGCTGCAAACCAGTCCCCTTATTGAGGATGTAAGACATATGAGAGGTAAGATATAATTCTCCATTCCAGTCAGCCTTGAGATCGCCTAGCTGCAATGTGAGGGTGCATCTACACTGCACCCGGAGCTCGAAATAAGCTACGCAAGTTCACCTACGCAAATTGCGTAGCTTATTTCGAGTCAATTTTGAAATAGCTTAATTTGAAATTAGGCACTGTCTACACAGCACTTATTTCGAAATAAATTGCTATTCCAAAATGCCCCTTACTCCTTGTGGAATGAGGTTTACAGGGATGTTGGAATAGTGAGCCTGTAATATTTCAAAATAGCAGGTGCACTCAAAAGACATGGAACAGCTATTTCAGTAGCATTGCAGTTTAGACGTAGCCTGGGATTTCATAGTATATATATATATGTATTGGGATGGGGGTTTCAGAGATTCAGCAGGTTAGGAGCACAAGTCTTGCAGACTCATGTGGCTAACTCCCTTAGGAGCTTTAGAAAAAAAAAAACCTCGTCATGTCTGTCTAGAGTCCGCCGTGAACCCTGTGGAAGGTCTATGGTGCAAAATATGCTGCAGATTAGAGTGGTGAACCTCTTCCCCTTAGTGCTCAAATAAGTGATGGAAAAGTTAAAGCATAAAATAATTCACACCTTGGGGGGCCAGGCCTTTGTTTAAGTCAGTGGAGCGATGCTGATTTGTACCAGCTGAGCATCTGGCCCTGAATTTCTTATTTGGAAACTAAATAAATATACAGTGTTTGCACTTCCATAGTACCCATATGAATACAGTAAAAGATTAGTGCAAGAAGGTAAAACACACCAGGACACTAGGCTCATATCATCAATTGGAGTTTGTGTCCCATAGAAATCCCTGGGGGTTTTGTTGACCGTATGCAGGATTACAGAAATACCTTGTTTCTGATTAATGAATCCCCTTTTCCACATAGACTGGAAAAATTCACTGGCTTAGAATTTAGTGTTTTAAATAGAACTATTGAGGGTTTCCTCTCATGTCTTATATAGTTCTTAGCAGTCCAAAGTGTTTGGAAATATGTACAGGTATCTTTTCACCCACTACTAATGTGTAGATGCTGCTGATTGATAGCACAACAGTTTGGGACACAAAGTGAAGCAGAATACCATACATCCTTAAAACTACAAAGGGAGGTAATTAGACTGAAAGTAATTGTACTGGAATTTGATAAGGACAACAGCATTAAAACCCTTACGCTTGTGATCATTAAAGATCCTGTGGAACAATTGACAAGTGGTAAAGGGCAAAAAGTATCTGAGACTCATCAGGCTGAACCTCTTGAAATGTTTGGCTACTTCTGAAAACTTTAGGCAAGAACCTTCATTCTCCATCTCCTCTGAAATTCAGTGGGCTTAGTATTTTGAAGAGTCCACTTTGCTATATAACTCTCATTTATGGTCAAACTTTCCCAGCCATATTGTATGGATCACATTCAAATGACTTTTCCAAATCTTACTGAAAAATCAGGTTCTGATGAAATGCCTCAAGACATCTTAATGCTTTCAAAAAAATCTCACAGAGATCAACATTTAAGCTAAAGATGACTTCTGTAGAATCAAAGTAGCCCACTGAAATACAAAAAAAAAAAAAAACGCCGGCCACTTTCCTGTGCCTAGTGCAGAGATCGTGGATGAGGTCCACGATGTCCGCACTAGCCCAGGCGGGTGCACTGAAATGTGAGCACTGTCCTTTAAAATGTTTTGAACCTGAGATGTCTGTAGCTACTGCTGCAAATCAGACTTCAGAGACTCTGCTTTTACCTTCTTTAAACAAAATATTCATTTTTAGCATTTAAATTCTATTCAGAGAAAGGAATTTTGGTTTAAAAATACAGCTTTACAGAGAGTGAACTAATAAAGAAAACCATTCTGGTCTCAGAGAGACTAATTTGTCTTTTGGCCTTTACTTCCTCTGCTGTTCTAGTTACAAGCTCTCATTATGGCAATTAGTTTGGATTTTACATTGGCAAACTATGTGTAGGCACCTGTACGTATCTGTTTTGTTAAATCAAAGCTGCAGGGTGCTGCTGACTGACAATGAACGTTTGGTTCCACATACTTTGGCTACGTCTACATTGGCAGTTTCTTGCAGAAGAACAGTCCTTCTGCCGCAAAAACTTGCCGGTTGTCTACACTGCACGAGCGTTCTACCAGAAGTAAGTTTACAGTATAGCATTGTAAAACAGGGCTTCTTCCGGAAGAGTTATTCCTTTTCCCATGAGGAATAAGCCCTATTGTGCAAAAGCTCTTCCAGAAGAGGGCAGTGTAGACAGGCAACATGAATTTCTGGCACAAGAAGCCCCTATGGTTAAAATGGCCATCAGAGCTTTCTTGCGGAAGAGAGCGTCTACACTGCCATGGATGCTCTTGTGCAAAAGCACATCTCTTGTGCAAAAGCACATTGCAGTGTAGACGCTCTCTTGTGGAAGTTTTTGCACAAGAATTCTTCCACAAAAGCATTCTTGTGCAAGAAGCTGCCAGTGTAGACGTAGCCTTTGTGTTTGCCGTAACCAAAATTTCAGACTCTCTCCAAAGCCCGGGCACGCCTATGCCCACGTTGGCATGGCACATGACCAGTATGGGGTTAAATCCAGGATAATGAAATTAAAGTCAAAGGAACTACATGACTCATTGTAGTCCTAGTAAAACTGCAATCAAATCTCCTACATGATATGCCCATGTGAAGCAGTCCACCTTCTATGGGCCGCTTGAAAATACCGCACGTCAACTTGTTATGCCCGTGTATTTTAAACTTTTCTTTGGCACATTATGATTGATTGGAGGGGGTGCACAATTTTCAGAGTGGGGTGCTTATATTAGGGTGCCCAATTTTGCACTTATACCACAAATTAGGCATCCAAAGGGTAGGCATCCATTTGAAGTTGAAAGTATGGACATTTTCTATGTGAAGACCTTCATTTAGTGAGGCAGTGAATCCACTGGATTGATTTAAAGGGGAAAAATTGTTTCCACAATGGCGGCAGTGTAAAATGACAAGCTTCTTTTTAGCATGCTAACAGAATGGGTCTCATCCCCAACCCCTCCAGTGGAAAGACTCCGTTTGACATCAGTGGGCTTTGAAAGGGATCCTCCATAAGACCCAGAAAAAGGAAGCTCGCTATATCTATTGGAAATTGAGTGTGGTAATGACAGTTCCTGGTATCAAAATGAAACTGGTTACTTGCACCCACCTTCAGAATTAGGTGAAAGTTGCTAGGTACAAGTTGTCATGCAGGAGATGAGAAAAGGACCACAAAGTGCAATAGATCCACTAGTATTTCAATACATAATATGAAATAACGCTAAAGTGTCTTTTATGGGCAAATACTTTACTAACTCTTTACCATGTGTTTTCAAAACCA